AATTATAATTCAACCGACAATTTCGATAACAATAATAATTAAGACATCAATGAATTCTTTAATAACAGCGATATAATCTGTTGTCGAATTCTCACTTGGAGCGGGATTTTATTTGGTCTTTCTTTCCCGAAAAGTGATTTTCTCCAGCCTTGAGATACTTGGGATATTTCGCCATCTCGTTTGCGCCCCCATAGAACCTCGATGCGCCGTTAACATTCACGCGTTATTAAGAAACGAATTCGACAAAATACATTAGGGACTTCCATATTCGAATCTTGGGGTTTTCGAATGAGCTGCGCTGCAGAATCTGAACGGCCGATAAATTGACATTGCGCCTCATCGACATCTGGAAGCTATTTACATTACATAAACTCCGTAGACGCCAATCTGATCCTACTCGATACATTGACCCGCAAAAGTTCCTGAGTGAAATATTCGAGTAAGAAAGATGAGCGATCTGGATAGGTACAGCTTCTACGACTTCCTTCAAAAGACTGCAATCTGACTTTAATTCAGAGCCATTTCGCAATTGCGAGCTTGCCGACCCATCCCAGAAGCAGAAGTGCGAGAATTATGTCATAAAGCGAGAGAATTGTTGATCGAGGAAGGGAATGTGGTCACAGTAACAGCTCCAGTTACGGTACGGCTTCATGAGTTTGCGCAAGTGATAGGTCGATATTGACGAATTTATGCAGATATGCGGTGATATTCATGGACAATTTCATGATCTCATGGAACTGTTCAGAGTTGGTGGTGATGTGCCCGATACAAATTACTTATTCATGGGTAAAATACGACCTTCTATATGGCATAGATGGCGGATCTCGACTAACTTGTCTAGGTGATTTCGTTGATCGAGGTTTCTACTCTTTAGAATCTTTCCTCCTCCTACTGTGCCTCAAAGTACGATATCCAGATCGAATGACCTTGATCCGAGGTAATCACGAATCTAGACAAATTACAACAGTTTACGGGTTTTACGACGAATGCTTACGAAAGTATGGAAGCGCAAATGTATGGAGATACTGTTGCGAAGTATTCGATTATCTTGCACTCGGTGCGATTGTGCTTGGAGCATCAAGCAGTCTTCAACCTACATCTATGCCGAATGGCGAACACAGTGCCTCCTCGACGCAAGAATTTAATGACGAGGATGTGGAAATCGAGATTCTAAATGTTGATGGAAGTATTATGAACAAATTTCTACGAAACAGGGACAAGATTGGGAAAAGAAAGCCATCTATAGATTCAGAAATGAGTTCATCAGACAAGGGTTCTCCAAGTCCCCAAAGCAAATTCCCCACCAGTCTTGGTGCACCTGGTTCTGGGGCTTCAGGTTACAGTGGAGGGAGTTCAGGCAATCCCTCCGGCGCGGTTTTCTGTGTCCATGGAGGTCTTTCCCCTCTGATCCAAGCAGTCGATAAAATCCGTCTCTTAGACCGCAAACAAGAAGTCCCTCATGAAGGCGCCATGTGTGATCTACTCTGGTCCGATCCTGATGAAATAGATGGCTGGGGTCTCTCCCCCCGTGGCGCAGGATTTCTATTCGGAGCCGATATCGTCAAAATGTTCAACCATACCAACGACCTTTCAATGATTGCTCGAGCCCATCAGTTAGTAATGGAGGGGTTTAAAGAGACTTTCGATCATAGTATTGTTACAGTATGGTCTGCGCCAAATTACTGCTATAGATGTGGAAATGTAGCAGCGATTATGGAATTAGGAGAGGATGGGACAGGAAATGGAATAATGGCAAGGAGTAATGGAGAAGTTAGTAGAGGGAATGGTGCTAATGCGCCGTTATTGAAAGAGAAAGTAGCATTGAGTGGACCTGCAAGGAGATATAGGGTTTTCCATGCGGCGCCACAGGATTCAAGGGGCATGCCGGCTAAGAAACCGGTGGCGGATTATTTCTTGTGAGGATTTCGCACGAGTTCTCATCATGTCATGCCATATCATAATTTATGGTACGTATGGTATTGACGCAATAATTGAGAAGAGTAGTGGTTATGATGTGAGAAATGACAGAACGAGACCCTCTTACATGGGTCAAATGGATTCATATGAAGTGGTATTGGTAGCATGGAAATGCAAGTGTGCACTTAAATGTCTAGATGTATTTATGTATGTATGTATGGCGTTAGCAAGATCGGGACTTGTGGATATCTGGTATGGGAATGAGAATGAAAATACTGTTTGTTCCACGTTTCCATGAATTTTTCAATTCATTTTTAAGTGACCTCAGGTACGTGTGTAGCTGAAGTTATCTGTGTGGAAACCTAACAACTTTAATCAAGTCACCTAGTGATAAAATTATATCATGAAGGCTCCTCACCGGAAGCACCATCAAAAACTTTATGTCAGCCAGACCAAAATACGCGTCAATCAGCCCGCCCACCAGTGGCCTTGCCCGCATTCTTAAGTGGTGGCCCGAGCGCTAGCTTGACAGTCTAAAGCTGCTATCTCGATCTCTTAATCTTATCAACCTCATTCTTTAATTCTTCAATCACCTCACCTTTTTGGCCTTTTCCGCCAATTTCTATTCTTCCGCACGACTGACTTCCATCGATAAGAGGTTTAATAATTTGATAGCGTCAGAATTATTTACCGGGAAATCGAAATCGAAATCGAAATTGAAACCGCGGAATAGATAATGACGGCGACGAGTCCGGATGCGAAGAGGGTGAAGAGGGAGGAAGATGAGAGGGATGAGGTGAAGGATGCACAGGGGGAAGGGAAGAGGGAGGATAAGCAGGAGGAGGTGGTGGTGAAGAAGGAAAATGACGAAGGGGATGCGCAGGATGATTTGGATGCGCTGGAGGGGTTGGAGAGTGAGGCAAAGGAATTTATGAAGGTATGTTTATTTTGGGGGGGTTGAGGGAGAGATTGGAAGAAGTTATATGGGTGGATTGTTTTTGGAGATGATTTGAAATCGACGGAGAAGTTGAGTCAATGAGTGAATGATTGATTACTGACTTTATGTGTTTTGCATAGGATTCTGAAATCGATAGGATATTAAAAGCTTTTCGTTTAGATGCGTATGTCTTCCCCTTCTCAGAACGTTATCTTGATGGAAGAAAATGAACGGCATTGAAAATAAATCGGAAGGACCCAAACATTTCAACTAACAAGAATAATACAGCTACGCAGTCCTCGACCTCCAACCCGGTGTCGGCGAATCCGATATCAAAAAATGTTATCGTGTAAAATCCCTCTTGATCCATCCAGATAAAACACGCAATCCACTTGCTCCAGATGCATTCGATCGGTTAAAGAAAGCGCAGACGGAGTTGATGGATGAGAAACATCGTGAAAGATTAGATGAAGCGATTGCCGATGCACGAATGCTGGTAATGCGTGAAAAGGGATTGAATAGAGATAGTGCGGAGGTGAAGGAACCGAGTGAGGAGTTTAGGAGGGAGTGGAGAGAGAAAACAAAATTTGTGTTGATTGAGAATGAGCAGAGGAGGAGGAGACAGGTGAAGGCGCAGATGCAGGAGGAGGGAAGGGAACAGAAGAGAGTGGAGGAGGAGAGGGAAGAGAGGAAGAGGAAGAGGGATAGTGAAGTTAAGTGGGAGGAGAGTAGGGAGGAGAGAATTGGAAGTTGGAGGGAATTTGCGAAGAAGGGGGGCGGAGCAGGGGGTGGGGAAAAGAAGAAAAAGAAGAAAGTTAAGCCTTTGGGTTAGCGAGTTGCTTTTGGTGTGTGTGGATGGGTTAGGAACTAATTTTCTGCGTGTAAATTGGAAGGACGGACGGCGAGGACTCCCTAGGTCGGAGTAATCAGTATGATATGATTAGGATATCTATTATCCATTCTACTCCGTATCGGAAGACCTCAAGTCATTTTTGACAAATAGTCATATCATATCATTTCATTCAAATATCCATACTAAGCAGAAACCCCTCCTCATCATAACAAGCCGCTCGAACTCAACCATTTTTTCATCTCAACAATTCTTTAGAGCGTACCGCGTAGAGAAATAGAAAGACGGAGAATATGCATCGAAGTAGAGCTCTATCTTCTAATAGTTGGCTCTCATAAACGGTCGACGAGTTTCTAGTCGGGGAAAGCGAATGTTTCGGAAAAGCGAATTGTCCACATGAGATTCTAGTACTATATGTACTTATGAAATTGAATTCATGTTAACTTTGACTAGGTTTATATATTATCAATAGGATTTCAATATATGATTTTTATATATTAGTTAAGTTTTTGAAAATGAACTCATGAAACACTATTTAATATATTGAGAAGACTATCTAGATAAGCACTATGATTCTGTAGAAAAATTTAGTATCCCGATCATCTAGTATACTAAGCGAGAGGCCTAGCTTCGTAGCATACTTAATAATTGCTTATTTCTATAAGTACCTAGCTAACTCTCTAGATAGAATACAATATTGACAATTAGGACCGGTCATTATAGGTACTGCGTCATTCGTATCCTCCTTAGACTAACAATATTATAATAAGAAAGAAAGAAAGTATATAGGTTTATTTCTATAGAGGATTTTAACTCTAATACTTTATATTAAGTAGATTGATAGTATTTTAAGTATATATGAAAACGATAAATTACTCTCGTGCTCCTTAAAAGTCATTTAATTACTCTTATATTCTAAAGTTGAGAGATGATTTACTTTTATACTTTTTAGATTCTATAGTATAGAATCTACTTTATTATGAAAAATATTAAAAAATATTAAAATGGAAAGAAATAATATAATTAGAATTTAGTCTCCTCTTATAGAATCTAGTCTCCTATTATAGAATCTATTCTTCCTTTGTTATAAAATCTAGTCTAAAATAAATAGAATCTAAAGGATACAAGAGTAAATTACCTTTTAATTCTAGAGCATGAGAGTAAATAAATAATATTTGAGGGGTATGAGAGTAATTTGCCGATATAGAAATTATATATTAACTATGACATCGTTAACTTATCCTTCTTATTCTTCGAATGTCTTTTTAAATTTTAACAAAGAATAAACGTTTCCGACTACAACTGTTCGTTTTCCATACTTTTTATAGCTTCTCCATTCATAATCCCTTGAACATAAGCATCACCTACAAAGATCCACTCCTCTACTGACTTATTGTGTACTTTTGCTTCAGGATCTTTTCTACGGAGGATGAACGGGGTCTTTCCTCCGAACAGAACGCAAACTTGATCACCTTCTTTCATTCCTGATGGCCCGACACCAATGTAACCTGTCTTTGTTCGGAAGAATCTTCGACCAGCGGTATAAGAATATATGGAAAGAGCAAGCTGGTTCACACCGCGCAATTCCTCTTGCCTCAGCTTCTTTAATTGTCCCTGGGCATTCTGTTCGTATTTCATCAAGAGAAATATCCACCACCATTCATCATGTAGTATCCGATCTTTGAAAGTAGCCCGCTTCTCTCCCCTGATTACACTCATATCGCAGCATAGCGTCCGCCAAAATGCATCTATGAGAGTCTTGCCGCCAGCATAGGGCTCTTCCGGTTTCTCATCAACTCCTGCAAATTCTCGCCATTCGTCGATTGACTCATAGCTAATGAGTATCGAAGGAGCTTTAGCGTGCGCAAGTTCTTCCACAGTATCAAACAGGAGTCCCTTTATAGCTATTTTGCCGGGTGATACTCGATTGATATCCACAGGAATGGATCCCGAGGTTTTATGCGTGGAGAATGCTTCCTGGCGTTTACCAGAGAAGCGAAGGACCTCGAACTTGTATTCCAATTTCCAATCTGGTACCCAAGAAGGGAGGTTCTCTGTATGCTCATGTGAAGCGTCTGAAGGATGCTCAAGAACATGGCTGAAAACGTCGAGATTACCCGTTTTCGCGATCAATGCCAATGTGGCAAGTTCATAAGCTTCAGCAACCGGCAGTTGATAATTGATGACTTTGTCATCAAGGTCCAACGACATACCGAGGAGCCCATATACCATATCATGAGGGTCAGTTGCGATGCGATATCTGTATAAACGAGCCAATTCAAGGAATCCAACACGAGTGCGACTTTTCCTCAGATTTTCAATTCTTTGAAGCTCCAAAAATCGATTTTCGAGATGGGGCAAGGTCAGAATAGGATTATTATTTTCAGGAAAACAACAGACTTGATAATGTATGTAAAAGCTCTGAACTAGCAATTCAAAAGTTTTGCCGGATATAACATGAGAGCCGCAGATGAAGGTCAAGCTCTTTGCTTTTGCCATTTCTTGCAGTGTCCACATGCGAGTCCACCATGGCTTGCGAAAGAACATGAACAGAAGCAAACGATCCACACCGAGTTCCGGTCTAGGCTCATAATCTTCTATTGGAGTGAAGTCTGCCCAGTGGAATTCGTGATTTCCAGCCATACGATGAATGAGCTCTATGATCTCCATAGTATCACTTTCCTCCTCTCCGAGCCACACGACGACCTGGTGCGCAGTCTCATAGATTGAACCCATCAGTTTTACTTGGCTATTTCTCTCCGGTATATCCATTTGATTTATACAGACAGCGTCCACCCAGAGTAAACGGCTGCGATCTTTGTACCGCAAATGCCGTAGCGCCAACTCGAGATTGCTTGTGGCTTCGAAGCTTTCTCCACAAACTTGAATTGGCACATGTCCGGCGACTGTCCCCCAAACATAGGACAATGCTTCATACTCAATATCCGCGTCGTCCAGAGAAACCAACCTCATAGAGCACGATACTGGATCTGAGGACGAGCCTTTTGTCAGTTCCAGGAGCCGGATTTCGTTAATTTGAGCGTTCATTGGCCGTTGGTAAAACGAGAGTGCCATGGTCGCGGACTTTTAGTAAAGAGCAATGTTGATACAATTTGACTTCAATCGCCCGTCTTAATTTTGCCCCCCCCAAAAAAGAGAGGTTTAGGGAAAAAGCCAAGGCCTCTAACTGTTTGCAGTAAGCGATACTACCTGCAAGCTCTCAGCTCGCCACGTGTCTCAGCCTCACTTCCTCTCTCCCTTCTTTGCAAATGAGGCTGTATTTTGATTAATCATATATTGTGCACCTAAAATAAAATCGCTGTATAAAGATCTTCGAAGATGTCCGCCTTGCATCTTGCAGCATCACACGGCAATGAACTTATATTGCGGAAACTCTTGAAAGATGGAGCAGATGTCAACCTGATCACGGAGTTTTATGGAACCCCTCTGGTATGCGCAGCAAAGAGAGGTCATACGGAAATCATGAAGCTGCTCAAGAGAAGAGGGGCAGACGTGAATATGGCGGGAAGAGATGGATATACTCCTCTTCACATCGCAGCGGTTGCAGATCAAGCAGCTGCAATTTCCTTACTGGCAGACTTCAAGGCTAGCTTTGAGGCTAAGACAAAAGATGGACACTCACCATTAATATGTGCTATTATTAAGTTGCGCTTGGAAACCGTGCGTGTCTTGTTGGATGAAGGAGCAGATCCTAATGCAAGAACAATGAAAGGGTTTTCGCCATTACATGTTGCTGCTATCAATCACAACAGTGCTATGGTTTCTTTGCTGCTTGAAAAAGGTGCAAATTTGGAGGAAAAAAACGAATTCGGGTCTACTCCGCTTTCGTCCGCGGTGATTTCAAAAAGTTTGCCTATACTGCAACTTTTACGGCGAAAAGGGGCCTCTCTAGAACCGAAGAACCTCCATTGTCGGACCCCACTCATGATAGCCGCATCCATGGGTACAAAAGAGATTGTGCAGTATCTTGTGGAGGAGGGTGTCAACATTGATACCAGAGATCAGTCTGGTGATACATGTCTCCACTTGGCTGTTGAAAGCGGGCACGAGAATGTAACTCGATACCTACTCGAGCATGGTGCAGAGACCTCGTGGCAAGATTATAATGGCGAAACGGCTCTACACAAAGCTGCCAAGACGGGGGATGAAGCACTAATACGGCTATTGATCAGTCGGGGTGCGGATGTCAATGCTATGGACTTAATCGGTTCGACGCCATTGTTCGAGGCAAGAGCAAATGGACATAGCTCAGCAGAGGTTTTGTTACTAAGTAAAGGTGCTAGTGCTGAGATGATAAAGGGTTTGTTTTTTGAGGATTTTCAAGATGAGGCCGGGAACAGGAGGATCGCACAGATCAGAGTTCCAAGCGAAATGCAGTTTCAAGACGATCATCTAGTATCAACTATCAATGGGCAGAAAGCCATCCCTGATTTGTCAGACCGAGCGGCCCGTTCAAAATGGGCTGATGGTTTCTTAAAAGACTTGTTACAGAGATTAAAACATCCAGATGGGAATGAACATCTCGACAAGGCAATCATTACTGAGCTACCATCGACTCCATTGGTTGTAAGAAAACACTTCGTATTTAATCTATAGCATGCCCTATTACAAATTGAAATATATCAGTCATTACTTCACTGCGTATATTGACCTATCCCCTTTGACCCGGAAATGATTGAAGTTTGCAGAACAGTCCGGAGATCAGTAATATTAATCTGATCCCCTCGATCCACCGCCAAAGCTTTACACGAGCCGATCACATTTTTGATCTGCCGTCCATTAAGTTCCCACGTAGCCAGCTCTTTGTAATCATCGTCTTCAATCCCAAGGCCAGGAGCCATATGAGCACCAAAATTCCGCCAAATCTGCTCCCGTGTAACAGCATCATGGTTCGAGTAAGCAAGCGTGACATGAATTCTAGAATGAAAAGCGTCATCGAAAGTTCGAATACGGTTGGTTGTCAAGAATAGTATTCCTTTATAGTATTCTAGGAGGCGTAAAAATATGGAGACAAGTGCGTTTCGTTGTAGATCAGACGTTGTGCGTTGTTCGAGAAAAATGTCCGCTTCGTCTAGGAGAAGGACCGCGCCAAATGCATTTGAAATATCAAGGACGCGCTCAAGTGAAGCTTCAAGCGATTCGGCTGTTGTACCTAGTTCACCACAGGTGACCACGTAGAGTGGGCGATGGGTATATTCGGCAACGGCTTTCTCATTAGTAAAAGCAGGAGCTTTTGGAGGAATGGACGAACTTACCCTCAGCTGTCATTGTCTTTCCGACTCCAGGCGGCCCATGGAGAAGAAGTACAAGACCCTTCCCTTTACCTTCGCAAGATGTTAGCTTCTGCCATGAGAGACTAGGGGTTTTCTACTTGCCCTTTATGAAATCGTCAAAATCTCTTCCCCTCTTGTGGTTCCGGACCAGTACACGAACTAACTCCTTCGTCGGTTCCGGAAGCACTAATTGGGAGAATACTTTCTCATTGAAGATCTTGTCCTCGATGTTCTCGATGCTTCCTTTGTGAAACTTCTTGTCTTGCAACGAGTAGAAGGGGATTTGGTTAGTACAGATCATCAAGTGGTCTTCTGTCAGCTCTCCGTCGTTAAGCTCATCGCTGATGTTAGATACCGAAATCGATTTACTGGCATTGAATCTATTAAAGGTGACGGTGTCGATGATAATGTCCGAACTTATCTAGGGAGAATTTTGTATTCAGTACATAATACAAGTTGAGAATGAGAAATCGTCTGTACCTCTGATGATTCATTCGAATCTGCTGGTGAAGAGTATCTCCCAGGTCGTCGGTAAGTGTCAACTTCGTCTACTGGGCCATTGTAGACCCTATGATTCTGGCCTTTGAGCGCTGCAAATATTCGGCCTCGGGCTATGAGATTCCTCTCTACCACCTCCTTGTTAGGATGATATTTCAGAGGAAATACGTCCAATTCAGATATGAAATTGATTCCAGGGTATTCCGGAACTCGAAATTTCTCCGATACGGTGCCAAACTCATGTCCTGAGAAATCTATGTATTCTGTCTTAACGATAAGAGTCACCTCATCAGGCCCGCCCCCAAAACTTCGTTTCACTTTGTAGAATGCTTCGACAAGGCGGAAAGCTCGGGGGTTATCTGACATGCCTTTCACGACGATATCCCCGGGCCAGAAGGCTTCCCGAAGAATCTCAAAAGATGAAGTGCGTCTGAATTTGAATCAGTCAAGATGTCTACAGCAGCAGACAAGAGGTTGGTTACTTAGCGAACATGTTTTCAATATCCTTGATTCGAGTTGAGTACTCGGTGTCTATAAGTTTCAACAACACGCCCACGTGCTTTACGGCGAGCTCGCCTTTCTCGATAGCAGCATCCTGAATACCTTTTCTCTGATCAATTCAGTACTCGCTCATCAAAAAAAGTGCAAGATCGGTTGAAAAATCGCAACTCACATATCTGAAAACGTTATCATTTGGCCAATCTATTGAATTTTTGCTCAAAAGCATCGCCCGCTCCTCTTTGACAATATCGTGTATGATGTCACGAATGAATGGGCTTTGAATATCCAACATGGTTTTCCGGAGGGTTTTGTTGTCGTTTTCGAAGACACGGCGAAGAATCAGAATCCATTTGCTGTATTTCTCAGAGCTCAATTCTTCATCTTTCGCCGTAGGTCTTTTGATTGAATCATGAGTAACGAAGACCCGCTCGCGGCTTGCTTCATCGAAAATCTAAGTAAGCTTCAATGTAAGATATCGCCCAATTGCAAGACATAAACCCATCGAGTTACTTACGTCGTCGATCTTCCAAATCTGAACCTTCATCTCTTCAACCAATGCTTCTTTGGCCTCGTATTCACTTTTAACATCATCAGATCGCTTACTGGTGGAACTACTGGCGCTAGTGGAGGAGATTTGACTAGAACTGCTCGAGCTTCTCGCACGTTTCTGTTCATCTTTGGATGATCTTCGTGACTGTATAGGTTGAGTCTTTTGAGCGCTTTCCTCTTTCACCAGAGGGTCTCCATGTCGCCTCTCCTGCACAGGTTCCTGATTAATGCTTTCAGCCGACTCTGTGTAAATCATCTCCGCTAACTCGGGAGCCGGTACAGAAGGCTTTCGCTCGGGCAATGGCTTTTCGAGCTGTGCACAGCCGGCTTCTTCTTTTAGACCATCAGAAGCTAGCAATTCTTCTGGATCATCAACCACAACGTTCTCATTCGACACAACTGCCTTTGCCTTCTTCATTTGTGCAAGCTGCTGCAGAAATTCCGTGGTGTATTTCTCTGCAAACGAGGCTGCAAAACTCTCCACAAAGTCGTTCGCTGCGTCTTTGCCGCCGAGGGCAACTATAGTGTCTGGACTTATCGACGATTCAGTTGTCACTGTAATACTATCATTCTCTGCTGACATGACCGCTGTTTTTCCTTCGTAAGGAGTAAGAATCTTTTCTAGTGAGTGATCATTTGTACCGATAGAACTTTCCTCGGCCTCGTGTGTGCAAAATTCTGCTTTCATTGTTGCCTGCGATTCAATAACGTCTGTATTAATATTCTTGTTTTGAAGAGCCGGCACCATGTTGCAAGTATTGCTGTTCAATTTAGGTCAGCTTTTAATCGAGAGACAAAGGTATAGAATGAACCATGACTTTGGGGCTCAAGGGGGACGGAATATAATTTACAAAAAGCTGTCTGATTTTATCCTGGCCCCCACGCACACGTATACCGGTTTCGATGCCAACTCAGAGCTGAATTTAGCCGAGCCATGAACGTTAGCCAGTGAAATGTTAGGTAATGACGTAGGCAGGCTATGCGGAGGTAAGGATTATAGAACCCGTCAAAAATATTCGGGCTTTTCTTCTATCTATAGGAATGCCAATCAAAAAAAATTACGCTCTTTGAAATTAACTATAACGAAGAGGAGTATAAAAATTAGATGGAAATTTATATATAATTTTTCTTTTCGATAAGATTAATAAAAAAGAAACTTAAATTATATAAATACTTAAATCATCTAATAAATTCGTAGAATTAAGTAAGATCGAATTACACTCTTCATATTGTATAATTTTATATTTATATAACTATACTATTTTTAGTTATAACTCGAGTAAAGAAGTATAAAAGCGTATATATTCTTCAAGCATATAAACAGTTATACTAATCATTTAGCTAATCTTTTATACAAATTGAAAGCTTTACTTTCAACTTCCTTTTAGTTTTCTATTAATAATTATAATCTTTAATAATAACTTCTTTTCAGTTCTCCTATTCCTATTGATTTATTCTAATTCGTTTTTCTTTTTGATTTACACTTTTTCCTTTTTGCTTTAATTAAGGGATTTTATAACGTTGAGGAGATACTAGTAGACTGAATAGTGTCTTAGACTTTATCTATAGTTCTTGAGATCTAATATTTCTAACGATTATTTTATTAACTTGCTAATTTAATCACTTTCGACTATTCTTTATAGTATATGTCTAGATTGAATCTATAAATGGTTTAGAGTCTGTTTAGACGTTATTATAGATAAATTGTCACGGGGCAGGCAGGCGGGATCAGGAAACTATATTCAATGATGTTAAGAATAATAGGTATAGAATATAGATTAAGATGTAGTTTAAAGAGTTATAATATAGAATCTTTTAATATAAAGATATATAAAGTTTTTATTTATAAGCTAATTTAATAAAATCTAGCTTATTATTTATTAATTATATATATTTATATTATAATATTTTTTTTTTTTCTTTAAATTGAATTCTGATAAGATAATAAGTTATAGTTTATAATTTTATAGGTGGGTAATTTGGTTTAAATAGGTTTAGATTTATTAGGATATTTATAATAAAAGTTGCAAATCAATTTCTATATATTTTTTAAATAATAAATAGATTTTTAAATTGGTTTATTATAATCAATTTAATAGATAATATATTTTAAATAAGGTTTTTTATAATCTCTTTTTTTTAATAGAAATTCAGGATTTCAATAGCTTCAAAATATTTTAAACTATTAATTTTTATAAAGGGTAATAATAGATTATATTATTTAGAAATAGAATTATTATATATAGAATATAATAAATTAATATGAAAAACAGAATAAATTCTTATAGAGATAAATAGTTTTAATTTATAAGTATAAAAATCTATCAAATTCAGAATTTTGAATAACTTAAAATCTTTCTAATCAAATTTTTTCTAGAAGTATAAGATTTTAATATTTCTAATATTTAATCAAATCAGATTATTGGGGGTATATTAGCGGATAGGGGAATAATGAAAATCAGTATTCTTTAAATATTAAGCTTGATTAATAATTAATTTTGTTTTTAGATATAAAGAAATTATTTTTATTTTAAAAATAAATTCCTCAATATCTTTTATAACAAAACGATTATTTTTAAATAGAATTGACTTGAAGTTTAGATAAGAATAGAATTTATAATTAAAAAAGAATAAAGTTATTCGAATATTTTTAAATCAAATATTATTAATAAAGAATTTAGCAAATAAAAGTTATTTTGTTTAGTTATCTTGTAGATAAATTTTATATAATCTGAAATATTATTCCAATATTATATTAATTTTTTAAATTTATTTATTAATCTTAGAATAGTAAATAATAAAAAGTTTAGTAGATATTTCTAAGTGTTTGTAAATGTGTTTTTAGAATTCAAATATAAATTAAGCTTTATAATTAGAAATAATTATTAAAAATGTTCACAATGAAGGAGCAGGCCAGTGGAATGCATGTAATATTGACTATGTAGATTGATTGTACTAAGGTAAAATCTAACTATGAAGTGGAAGTGATATATGCACAGTAGCGTAGCGCACGTGCCACAACTTCCAACAAAAAATAAATTATAAATTTTTTAAATATTCTTTTGAAATAGATAAATAACTTTTTTAGAATTATAGATATTATAGTAAAACAGGAAGTACTTTATTTTAATCAAATAATTGATTATTATTATAATAATATTGAAATCAGTATTTTCGAATAGATATATAATAAAATCTATTGAGATATTTTACTAGACTTTTTATGGGATTGAGAGTAAATAAAGAATTTCTTTTTGATCTTTATAATTTAAAATAATATAATAATAATTATAATAATTACAGATTTATTATATAATGTAATTGTAGTAGCTAGATTAATAATAATTTTAAAATAGTAATTTGAAGGTTTGAATATAGTATAAATAACTAATAATAAAGGACTTATAGTATAAATAGAGTAGATAAGCTTTTAGAGAATTATAACTAAAAATATATAACTTTTTTTAGTAATATAATAAATTATTATTTTTAAAGTATTTAATAAAAATAATTTTTAAATATTTCGGAAATCCTTTTTATAAGGATTTTAGAATAAATTTAGGAATAAAATCGATTTAATAATTTTCTTGAAATAGAAATAATAGATTAGTAGGTAGATCTAAAAAGGTTTTTTAATTTTTTAGGGATATTAAAAAATCAAATTCTAATATAGTAAACAAAAGTTCAGATTTAGATATAACAGGGTTGAAAGGGTTAATGGGATTAGAGTTTCTTTAGCTTTATATAATAATAGCAAATTATACTTTTTTAGTAATCTTAATTTCTTTCAAAATATTGGTAATCGGGAATAGATTAGAGTTTAAATTTTCTTTTTTTAGAATAATTCGATTTTGGTGTAGAAGGTATTCATTTCTTTTTTTAAAGAAATTCTTTAATCTTTTAGTTAGAGTATTAGGCTTAATATTTAACTTTTTAGAGTAATAAATAATTCGAAAATTAAATTAGAATAGGAATTCAAATTAGTAAGTTTGATAGTAATTTAATAATTTTGTTATTGTAAAGTATTTTAGGTTTTTGTAATTTATAATTATCTAAATTAAAGATAATATATTTTTTCAGTTTGAAATATTATTTTTTAAAATAATAAATAATAATTAGAAGTTTTTTATTATAGATTTTATAATTATATTTAATAGTTAAATATTTTTTCAAAAAGAATATAATAAATCTCAGGATTCTCTTTTTGTTATATTAAAAAAAGATTTTTATAAAAATACAATCCGATATATTAGTTTTTAGGATAATCTTTTTTTTCTAATTAAAGGAGGTTAGGATAAAGATTTCAATAAATATTTTTTTTAATTAATCGAAAATATTTTGGTAGGTAATATTTTATAGGAATAGGATATTCTTTTTAATTAGATTTATTATTAAATTAATTATTTTTAAAAAATCCTTAATAAATTATTAATAAAAATTTATAAATTCAATAAATACTTATATATTAATTATAATATCAAATAGCTTTTAGTTTATAATAATTTTTATTTTCTTTAAATCTATTTGAATATTCTTTTTTTTATAATTAAATTAAAAAAAATAATTTCAGATTTCAGGAATTTATATTTTTTAAATTTTATAAATAGACTGATTTCTTTCAATACTTATAGAACTTTCTAAATATAATAGATATATTTCTTTTAGGTATAATTATATATCAATATATTATTTAGATATACAGTACTAACGCACTGCTACTAGCCGCTCGTCAAAATCGCACCTAAAACAGCCATTTTACTACTTTTATTTTATAGTTTTAAGATTTTTCAAATTAAATTTGTTTTATAAAAAACTATATATTTTAATTTAAAATCAATTAAAATATTTAAAAAATCATATATTTTATTTTTAATAATTTTATATGTTATATAATATATAATTGAAATTAGAAAAAGAAAAAGTTATCAAAAGGACTTAAATTTACTAGTAAAATAAGCGAAAATCATGAACTTTATAAATTCATTTTTCAACAATATAAATAACAACTTAAATTATTTCAAAAAGCTTTGAAAAGTTGATTTTATTAAATGTCAATATCGAAATAATATATATATCGAAATTCAAATAAAATAATTTATTCAAAGTAATTGATTTTATATAAATCAAAAGTAGTAAAACGGCTATTTTAGGTGCGATTTTGATGAGCGGCTAGTAGCAGTGCTCGGTGACTGTATAATATAGAATATATTCAGATATTTATGTAAAAAGTTATTAATAAATTTTTGAAATATAATAGGTACTTTTATTAGTTCAAATAATATAATTAAGAATTCAAATAGATCAAATTGGGTATAAAATATAATTAGATATTTTTATTCTTTTTTAATTTTAATATTATTAAAATAAAAATAATATTAATCTTATTAAAGTATTTTATTCTCTTTAAGTTATTTAAGGATTCTTTAATTAATAATAATAAATATTGATTCTTTATAAATAGATTATTTAGGGCTTTATAATTAATATAAAAATGAAGATCTTTATTAATTTTCTTAATAAATAATATAAAGAATATAATAAATGAAAAACTGGGATGGATGAATTCTTTTTTTAGATTTTCTTTTAATTATCCTTTTAAAGCTTCGAATTTGATTTGGAATATAATATATAGAGATTTAAAGGGTAATATAATTTTTTTTTAGAATTAGATTTTATAATTATATAATTGATATAATAATGATTTATTAATATTTTATAAAAAAAATATATTTTTTTAGTTTTAGAATT